CAAAAATCAAGTTCAAATTTTCAGAAACCGACTTCAGATTCAAATTATCCGATCCCGATGATCTTCGGTTAAGCCCTATAGAAATTTGTTAGACTCTCAAAAAGCCCTCTCTTTAGTGAGAAATATTTAGCTCAAAACTTCAAAAAGCCTATTAGATATTAGGATTCCTCAACTCCAGTTATCCTCTGCTAAGCTTTATAAAAAAAACGTTATTTTCTCAAAACATCTTTTTTTTAGCCAAAAAAAAAGGGATAGAAGGGTACCAGTATCACCAATACCGGTTAATACCAATAGCATTCAATACCGATAGCTAACTTCTGTATTGGTATTGTTGCATGCCTCATTATAAGTTTTTCAAGGTTTTTGCAAGATTCCACGAAATTCCAAACGATTCCCAAATATTTTAGAGATTCTGGATACCGAGAATCTGCTTTTTCCGCCTTGGCTGTGAGGTGCGGACGTGCGTGCATTCCTCTTCTTTACCAACACTCACACCCGCACCCTGTCTCGAGTTTCTCTCGTTGAATCTTCATGATTTTTTCAGATTAGGATCCCTTAATAATTTTTCACTATCATACAATAAATTGAAAATTTATCTCGGATAAATCTTGAGATATTAGGGGCACAATGTTAAAATATTTCAATTTTGACTGCCACCTATTGGAAGAAAATGCTATATAACCGATTTGTTTTTCTTTCATTTGAACTTGAAAAGTTGATGATATTACAGTTAAGAATTTCTACTTATTGAATATAAAACTAATTGGTTCTTCCATGAAATTTCTTATGAGACTTTTTTCTGTAAACCACATGTACAGTCAATTCTCGAATTCCTGTTATGTGAGATTAACAACGACTTTGACATGTAATGACGCATTTAAAATTGGTCGGGTTGGTGTTGAACAAGAGTCAATGAATGGGAGATAAAACTGGTCAAAGACGATAAGAAAGTTATGCTAGTTTTTGTTAATATAAAATATGACATAAATATTAAAAAACTAGTTGTTACACTAAATGTTACGCGAGATTATTTACTTTGTTTGACGTATAACTCTCTTAAGGTATGGTAGATTGAGCTGAAACTTTAATAATTTTATTCATACATTGTGACCAACTACTGTTCAGAATATCCTGATCAAAAAGTTTGTCTTTCGAACAAAAGAGAAAAAATAGTGTAAAAATATAACGCGAGATTATTATGTAGTTAACGACCCCACCGCTGAAGTAAAAAGAAATTCATTATATATTAATTGATTTCATATTTAAGATGCTATCAACACTCATACAAAGTAATTGTAGTTTGTGTCTAACAGATTAAATTCACAGCAAAAATTTAATGACTATGTATATTCTCTAGATGTTGATCATTATATTACATTCGACACACTATTGGACTTGCTTAGTTAAGATTTAGCAAATTTGAATTTTAGAATCATATCTGTGTCTGCAAAGATAAAGCTCTCCCTATCGATAATTTCAAGTGCTTCTAATATATTTTCAAAAAATATCTTGGTTTAAGCAGTTTCTGATATATATATTAGAAAAACTTGCATTTAGCAGACTACTGATATATTTTCAAAAACTCGCATATTTTGGTCAATTCAATCGTGGTAGTCGGGAAAATTTATTCTCATTCTCGTCTCATATAGTATATTAAAATGCACTACTCACGATCCTGAAAATCGAAAATTTTTTTTCTTGATTTTTTTATCGGAACAATACAATACTTTGCCATACACTCATATATATATCACAAAATATCTAACTATTGACAATCCATGTCTATGTATTATTTTAAAAGAATATATCTGACAGTTTCGAAAACATCAAGTTTAATAGTTGTTGGTAATTTTCATGAATTTTTACCATCAATATTTTGCTTATTTGGTTCATAAACACTTGTACATACTAAAATTGACTAACATGATGTTGCACTTAAAAATTTAGGATTCAGTAATAAACTATAATCACTAATACTTGCTCATAAATTCATTGATTATTGTAATAAATGATTATACATATTTGCACCGGCAATATCAACATCTGAATTACCTCCAATAATATAAACTTTTTCAATTTTTGGTTGACCATTAGCGGATGCTTTTTTACTAGCTATTGTTTCGATACATTGATATGAAATTTCAAATGGTTTACCAACAGATGCTGTATATTTGAGATCATTTCCACTTATACTCTATACAGAGATAAAAAACAAATGTTCACAGAGTTTTTTTTCTAAATGTAAAAATTAATTTGCTTTATATAATGTTTATAAACATATAATAAAAGCACCATGACCAAAACGTGGTAACTCTGCAGCAGTTTTAAATACAAGATTTCTGTTGCAAGCAATGATAGGTATATGATTATGTTTAGCATTTGAATCATTTGATACAATGGCAGAATTACCGTTGGTTAAAAGAACATCAAGAATAACTTGTAATGATCATTCCCATTGAATTGATCTACCAAGTAAAACAATTACTTAAACAACAAAGGAATTTACAGCATTGATAAGAGAAACAAAACGAATATCTACCATCAATAGGACGAAAATTCTCATCATGAATAAGATCTTGGGTAAGTATCATTTCACTCTAAAATATTCAATGAAGATACATTAAAAGAAGGGCGTGGGTGTGCGTATGAAGTGTGGCTCTGCCTACTCTTTTCATCCACACCCACACCCCACATCCAACTCTGTTCAATGATTTGCTTCCTTTGAACAATTTAAAACAGAACCGATACAAAGTAAAAGATGCAAACAAGGAAACGAATTTGTTAAATTTATTTATTTTTTGCTATAATGCTTAAACGTTTAGCTCACTGGTTCTTTCAGTCTGTATGATGTAGGATAATATGAATATTAAGAGAAATATGATCATTGGTATATATTGACATCTTGATTAAATAAAAGACATTACAAATTAATTCTATTTATTGCATGTGTTCTTTCGAATTTTATCTATCAAGAAGCATTGATTCAACTGACATGAAAACCGACAACATCCTTCCGGCATCTTCGAATTCACGTTTCAACCAATGATGACGTTGCATCAGCATCTACAAGTTGCACATATCCTAAAGCATATTTCATAGGACAATTGACAAATCCACAAAGCTTAGACTTTGTAATGAACTGCGTCAGGTTGATTCATTGAAACGATAACGAATTCATATGAGCAATGACAGGGTGATTGAAGAATCCTTCGAATAAATCTTGGAGAAACATTTTGTTGATGCTTTTTGAATGTTAAATAAATGAATAATATATTCAATATAAAAAAATAATTCTTGTGGGTGTCATCTTTCTCACTGTTTGGTTGATACAATTGCATTTCAACGACAAGCTGACGCATACACACGAAGGAGATACACAATTCAATTCTTCAGTAAAAAATGCAAATTTCCGTCCTTTATCGAACTTTGCCTGACAAATATCTTATCAGCAAGTGACTTTCATATTACCATTAACGTTGATATCATCGTCACATACAACAATATGGAAATCGTGTTGAAAATAGCAGATGTCGCCTGGAAAATCAAAATTCTTGTCGACAATGTTCGTGCAAATAGAAAACGATGTCGACGTTTGAACGATCGAATATCAGTTCTCGTTCCATTGCTTCAACAATTACATGGGAAAAAATCGTTGACAACGAAGTATGCAGCAGCATTGGAACGATTACTCGTTTGTGTTCAACGTTGTTATGCATTTATAAAGAAATTTACTGAGAGTAATTGGTTTGTTCGAGTTTATGATCAAGCATGTCATCGGGATACGTTTGATGAATTAAATCAAACTCTTTATTCATGTGCAACAGATTTAAATTTAGCTTTAGCTATACAAAATCATTTCAAACGTGAACAGGACGAAATTGATCGACGTGATGATAAAGAATTTTTATCGAACAACTTTGACAAAATTATTCGCTTACAAAGTGAATATTCACAACAACACACAGTTCAACTGGGCAATATTGAACGCATGTTCCAATCATTGATCGATAATAACAAACAGAACCTTGAGGCATTAATGGACGATTACAAACGACAGAAAATGCGTGAAGAGGAAAAACTCTTCGTTCATGTTCAATACAGTCAAGTCATACTCCAACAATTGATCGCTACTGCCAGTTCGGGTAACGTGTACAGAGGACGATGGAGCAATTCGAAAGTTGTCGTCAAAGAGCTGAAGATTTCTGCTATGAGAGGACATGAACGAGAGGAATTTGTCAAAGCCGTAGAGATTCTTACGCGTATTCGTCATGAAAATGTTGTACAACATCTCGGTGCATGTATTGAAGAACCGGATCGTTATCTCGTTCTTAGTGAACTAATGCCTTTAGGATCCTTGAATGCTATTTTACGAGACAAAAAATTAGAATTCACATGGATTGATCGTTGGTCTATTGCTAAACAGATTACAAACGCTATTCTCTATCTTCATACGTTTTGCTCACCGCCGATTATTCATAAAGATATCAAATCGTCGAATATTCTTTTGGATTATTATGGTGGTGATCGGCGAAAATATCGAGCAAAAGTAAACGATTTTGGATTAGATCAAATTCATGGTGCGGTTGGCACTCTAGCTTGGTCTGCACCGGAAACTTTGCGAACAATGAATCGACGTGAGTTTAATTCAGCCAGTGATGTTTACAGTCTGGGTGTGGTCATGTGGGAATTGACCACAAGTCAAGTACCTTATGCAAATCAGTCATCCGAAGAAATCATTCGCCGGATTTGCGAAGGTGAACAATTACCCGTTTCGTATGAACATATTCCACGAATATTTGCGAATATTCTTTATCAAACATGGAATCAGGACGTAGACGAACGACTCTCTTGTGTGCAAGTATACGCTCGTCTAGCCATCGGTTCGAAAAGAGCTGATTTCAATGAAAATTTGTGGCCCGATACCGTCAAGTCATCACCGATTCATCTCGATCCACCCAATGTTTTAGATCATCTGTTAACGTTGAAATATCAATCGGATCAACCAATTGAACATCGCAATATACAAGCAATCAGCGAAGCTGCCAATGAATTATTCAATTTAAAGAAAAGCAATCCGAAACCAATTACAGCAACTTCTTTTGAACATTTGATAAGCATTGGTGAATCATTTTTGGAAGCGAAGACTGATGTCAACTCGTACATTAGTGCGACTTGCCAATTAATTGGTCTCTTCGCTGAAAACTTTTCAATGAACCCAATTATTGTTGAACAAGGTGGTGTTCTCTTTCTTCTGCATGTGATTCAAACCTTTGCTGATACAGACCAAGCCATAGTGAAGCAAGCAGGTGATGCTCTCAGCAAATTGAATAGTTATGTTCAAAATGATTCATCAACAAGCAGCCAGGTTCCTAATCAGACTGAAGTAAATAAGAAAATCCAGTACAATACCGACGAATCTGATTCAACAATGATCTTACGACAAGTAACACAGCAAGTCCAATTGGAAGGTCATGCAGATGAACATGTATTGACTATGATCGACGAACTACTTGAAAATACACCGGATGAAGTTGACGACGAAGTCTCACATAAAAAGAAGAACAAGCAAAGTTCTTCAGAGAAAAAGTGGCACATTAAATATGTCTTTGGTAAGAAAAGTTCTTCACAAAAGAAATAGAACACTGATTGTTGCTACTCTTTTGAACATCGTTCAATATCAAACTTGTTACTAGGAGCATTGAACAAACGCCCTGGGACCGTTGTTTACATTCAAATTTGCGCGTTCTTTTGACTATTTTTGAATCATTATTTTTATTATAAAATATATATTTCTTTCGATATTCTTAATAGCCGTTAAAGTGGTTGAAGACTAATTTTTCGTCGTAGTTCATTGTTATTCAAATGTAGTCTACTATTGATACACTTTCACGAGAAGCCGTTTGATAATAAAAATATGCCATTCCAGAATGGTTTTAAGTGCACTACGCATAAAATAGTGATGTTTATGATAGAATGAATCATCCAGAAGTTTGATGAAACATGAATACTGTGTTCCATATTGAGATACTGAGTTGAAAATTGTCTCAGTTGGCTGCTTATGCTAACGTCAATCTCTGGTATAAACTTCAGTTTGAACGGTTGCAAATTCGAGACACTAAGATTCAGTCATGGCTATAGTAAAATCTTGCTAAAAAGAGAATGTGTGAGTGACGGAGGCTGGCAAGCAGATTTATACCCTTGCTCTCACATTATACTCACTCTTCTTCTCCACTGCGGATCCCTTTGCAGAGGTTTCAAATTTGTTTGAGCCCATAACTTTTGCTTATGGACACGAGTCCTACAAATAATGAAAGTTTCATTCCATTTCGACAAAACCAATACGAAACTTTAGTACTCTCTTGAAAAAGTACTTAGGAGTATAATTCATTGCTGACTGATTAAGCAGAGCTTAGATGGAGAATCACAGCATCAAACCATCGAATCAATTCAGCTTCTCTGTGAAACCAATATCAAAAACTATCGCACCTACATCAGGTGTAATTCAACAACGAAACTCCTAACTCATATTCTGTGTTAACCATTGTCTATGAGTGGTGGGCTACTTTATTTTGCAGCTGTGAATGGCTTGGTATGATCATTTCCATTCAGCGTGTTATTATGCTTCAACCATATTATTATACAGAATTCGACACGGAAGAAGTCATTTCCAAATCGTTCATGCACCAATTTCGTGTGATGCGTCCGTATTTCAATCGAATGATGATTAATCAATGTTATCAATAGATCTCGCACATGAAATAATGATTGACAAAATCTAACTCTCATCGATTAAGACATGAATTTTCGAAAGTTTGACTCGAAAGCTGGGAACTTCTTTGGTTTCACTGTCTAAAGGACGGGCGCGTATAAGTCCACAAAGTGACCCATTCTTAATATTCAACTAAAACGTATCTAAAACCATGTAAAAGCATAGATTTTGTGGTTTTATGATAATTTTAAGGAAATAGATCATACTTTTTCCATCATTCTGCGCAAGTTTAAGTCATATCATACTCCCATAGTTAGATGACCTATGCTTAGGCAGTATTTGTTGCATAACTTTTTTTGTTCTTTTATGATTTAAGATAATTTATATACCATTCGAAAGAGCTTTAAAAACTGCACTAATTCGTATAATGATCACAAGACTTCTACGTCATTTAAGTCATTTTTAATTGACAACAATGACTCCATAGTAGGGAACTATGATGACCCTACTCATAATTCTCGGCCTCTAGCATTACTATTATCAACCTACAACACCTTGAATTTGATACCATTCGATAGAGCTCAAAAACTGCCACAAGATAATACCAATTTTAGCCATTTTTCAATAGGACTTTGGCAAGACGCTCGCATATACCGCTAACAAACACTACAAAATTAATTAGAATATTCATATAATAGAAACTTATAATAGATATATTAGCTCAATCAGCATTATTATCAACATAAATAATATTCTCTATTCTTTCCGTTTCTTGTTGTGAAAAATCAACTCATTTTCTCATTAAAGTGTCTTGACAATAAATAAATCTTCACTATGCAGCTTATCAGAAGTATTTTGTTTATAAGAGCAAGTCCAAATATAAGCCACAAGCTGAATTACTCAAACGAGGTCGTTAGATTCTGCCCAGTTTATGTTGCTTTTATAGAGGGAAGAATTTTAGAAATTTTGACGCAAACCGTTTGAAAAAATATTGTTTCATTCTCGAGTTATTGACATTTTTCTGAGGGTACTATAGTCAGAAAAGTCATTTTTCGCAGTTCTTTGTGATATTCATATGTCAACTATGAAACATCCGTTTGCCTTGAAATTGTCACGGCTCATATATCCCAAGTAGATGTACTTATCATTAAAAGAATAGCTTAAACGAGTGAATTGTTTATGAGTTGATCAGAAGTACCACATACATCACAATGGTCATTTTTCGATATTTTATCTATATACGTATCTCATAAACGAAACATACTAGGCAGCTAAAATTGTAGTTTCGAAGAGATCTCATTGAGTACTTACTTTGAAAAAAAGTGTATCTCTCTAGACAGTTCGTTTCGCTCAGAAGACCTTCTACGAAATAATGATTTTGACGAAAATGATGAATGTGGTAGGGCTTGATCTTCCAGAAAATAGGTCTTATAGAGTTCGGACTCTTATGGTTTGAAAGTGCATACTGAGAGTGTGGGTGTGGGCGTAGGTGAAGATGCCAAGAGGATTAACAATCAAAACCACACCCACACCATTTTTTGGAATATACATAGAAGACATCATATGTTCTTTTATGTTTTGGAACGCGTTCTATTTTCATTCGTTTTATTATTGATTTTGACTAACTGAGGAGTAAATGAGGAAAAACAGTAATCTAGAAAATTCCAATATACACTGAAATAGTGTTTAGAAAAGTCATTCGAATTAAATGTCACTGCGTCTTAGTTATTAGTTCTCAGCTACGGTGGCTATATGATGCACATCGTCTTCATTCGTAGTCAATAACGCCACAAGCGCCTCAGCTTGCCTGATTTGTTCATCGGTTTGCCTGATTCGTTCATCGACTTGCCTGATTCGTTCATCGGTTTGCCTGATTCGTTCATCGGCTTGGTCAAGGCTTACCCCAAAATCTTCATATTCCACAATGTTTGCTCTATGAAAAAGTTTTTTGGCCCAGCCATAGTTTTGCAGAGCTTCTTGGGCAGCAGCCAAGTTTATTTGATTAAATTTTGCATTTCCATCTTTAATGAATTGACCGCCAATATCTCGACAGAGGCGAGCCAAGAGTTGCGGCTCAGTATTAAAGATTTGAATATAATCCACGAAGTGATAGGCTCACACCTGATGCTCTATATGTAAACAGAAGCAATACATGAAATTACATCGATTTTCTTCAGTATCTCGGAACACTTGAGGACAATAAGTTATCAGACAGGGAACAATTATACGACCCAGTTTACCGGACACAATCAAGAAAATGCGTTTATTAGTATTATCGAGAATGAACTGCAGACAGGTCTCGACATTGTCAAACGGTCGCAGCTGGATGGTAACACCTTCGAAGTTGGCAGTTATGGGATCAGTGTTGCCAAGTAAATTGTCAATGTCTGTATCGTTTGCACTGACTGTATTGCCGCTCGTAGGCTCAGTGGTCGTGAAGAATGCTCGCTTCAGGTTACAACAGTGGTCAGAATGTCCGATGTGATCATCGAGCCACACGAGTAAATAGTTGGGAAGGTTTGGTTGTTGAACTACCGCATAATTAGTTGCCATTGTTCAAATCTGAAATGAGTCACTTATATATGTACTGTGATTTTTCTTCAGGAAAAACAAGCAGATTAAATCCATGGCGTTTTCACGAACGAGTGGAAAGCTTGCCTTGCCTTCGAAAGTATATTTGAAAAGAAGGCGAAGACTACTCAAGTAAAGTTTATGGACAGTCACATTAGAGGTTGTGAGTGTGGATATGGTTTTGTGGGTGTGTAAGAGTGCGTGTTATGATCTAGATGTTCTCTACACCCACAGCCACACCCATACCTATCTCAACATTTTATACAATTGTCATTTTTGAAATTTTTCTTTTTTCTTTACGAATTCAGAATAGATACTTCAGTGTTTCATTATATTTGGAATCAGATTAGATAACTCATCAATTTTTGGGATGTATAGAGATCATTATATTCCTTTTTGTACAAATATCTGATTTTTTCAGGCACATATACTGCTTATTTATTGAAATGCGAAAGCCAATCAAATCTCAAGAAACTACATCTATGTGTACGGATGTTGTTGAGATTTTTCTCAATGGCTTCTAGCCATGTCAACAAATACAGAGTCTCTATAAGCCTGTGAACGACCCGATGTGCTCCGTATTCGGTCGTTTACAATTGTGCTTGTCGGAGTTGTGTATCTAATAAGACAATTTTTTCTTCAATAACATGTTAATATTATTGCAAACTCTTACACGGACAAAAAAATGGTTCCTTTTTCCATTTCATTTTTGCAACACTTAATGCATTATTTTAAAAAAAGCAAAATATACCACAAGATGCAGCGTGAAAAGAACTACAACTTACAAAGTAAAGCTTATTTTAATTGTATACTTTTTGTTATCAAAAATGAAAAATTTTGTGTGACCAATTTTCGACGCGACGAAAATGTCATTTTTTCTTTTCTCATCTTTTTATCAACTAATATGTTTTTGTATAAAAAGAAAATATACACCACAAGATACAGCACGCAAAGCCCTACAACTTCCATAGAACAGTTTATTGAAATAAGAAAAAAGAAATTTCTCTTTGATATAGAAAAATGATCCTTTCGCAGCGTCGAAAATTGGTCGCACCGAATTTTGCTTTTTTTGAAAACGAAAAGTACTTAATTAAAATAAGCTTTACTTTGTAGATTGTAGAGCTTTTCACGCTGCATCTTGTGATATATTTGGTTTTCTTTACAAAAGCACATTAGGTGATAAAAAGATGAGATAAGATGAGAAAATAAAAAATGATTTTTTCGTCGGGTCGAAAATTGGCCGCACAGAATTTTTCATTTTTTGATAACAAAAAGTATACAATTAAAATAAACTTTACTTTGTAAATTGTAGTTCATTTCATGCTGCATCTTGTGGTATATTTTGTTTTTTTTAAATA